AATGTTTGCTTAGGGCATTAAGGTTTTCAGGTAAGTCCCCCTTCTCTCCCTCTTCTTATTCTTTATTTCATAGGTCCTCATGGTTGTATGGCAGCGAAGCATCAGTTCAAATGGCTGATGTACTGCTGTTGATGATGATGATGATGATGATGATGATGGCCTGGTCACCGCTAAGTGCGGAGGGCCTTTATAAAGGGATTGCATACGATTTACCACCATGTGAGGTGGTGCATTCGATCCATTTTATTTGACATTTCATTCCATGTGATTGGCTGTGGCTACGCTTGATGTGCATGTTGACAAGGTGCTTACCTGTTTACTACCCACTACCTCGTCCATACAGGCTCTAAAAGACAGACGGTCGTTGCTGGAAGTGACGAAATGCACGGCTTCGTGGCCGTACTAAGCTCGAAAAGTGGTTCCATGCACTGAGTGTGGAACGAGTCAAGGTTCAGTCACCACCTTGTTTGCGCTTGATCCCCGCATACAGCCTGCTTGTGTTTGCCTGCGGGTGAGTGTGGGCCGGCTGCGTTGATGAAACGTGGCTCCCATCCACATGCCTCCCGGTCTTATTCCTTCGGGTTTACACTGGATATGGGGTGTGTGGTTGGAGCCGTGGGTGGTGCAGCGCAAGCCACCTATGGTCGCTCTGTATGTGCAGGCGTCCTCTGGAGGCCAAAGTGACAGGCAAATCCGGAACCGGATGCCGCCAACCATAGCAACGCAGAAGAAACAAAATTCCCGGTCCTTAGTAGATCTGACCAGAGAACAGAATTATTGTAGGCCTTGGAAACGTTGCAATATACAGCTGTCAAATGAATGGCTGACGAGACTTTGTAAAACCAGGTTTCAAGCAGGACCACAAATTGGAAGACGACTCCGTTCAACTGCTATTGTGGGCGACAAAGTCAAAAATAATATTTTGATAGCCGACGGCGATGATTAATTCCCGTAAGCGTGTGATCTCTATTGGTCACCCACTCCAAGGGCTCTTTTCACAAAAATCCTGACATAGAAAATGACGGAAACCTGCTCCACGCTGGCATTTAGAATGCAATATTGGTTAGACTGATATGTCTAAGTAAATAAGAACAACCCGCTTAGAGATTATTCGATCATAATGATGCAAACCGCTGTGCCAAATGGAGACGGTTCCATGGACCATTGAAATGTTAAGGAAATAAGTGTGGTGTGTAAGTTATCAAAGCCGCTCGATGGACAGTGAACCACTAGATGCACAACAACGTGGATGTTATTGACAAAGCCGCAAGTAACGCTGTCATTATAATACAGAGTAATGTAGGTCAAGAACTATTTTCTAATGACCGCGGGAGTCCTTTGGGTGATTTAGCCGCTCAAAAGTGAACGGTTTACTGAAAGCAGCATTATCTGCAACCGCTGAACTCACATTAGCACTGCCGATATTCTAGCTTTCCCAGATTCGAATTCCGTACTGGTTACGTCCAAAGGAGTTACTGTGCAGACCAATAGCTAGCCTGTGTTTCACCTCATGATTTTTGTCGCCATAACTAAAGACGGAGTTCTATTGCGCCGACACAGAACGAATAAAATGGTAACACATGTCCACAGGTTTTCCGATGAAGTAACTCTTTAATCACTAAGTGCGAAATATACCAAGAAGTAACAGCTATTGTAAAACGACTTTCCGAACTTTGTCCCCATAAATCGAACCATAAATGAACTAGAGGACAACTCAACTAATTCTTTTAAGAAACTTGAAACACTGAGTCCCCTTCAGTCACTTCATTAACGCAGTAAGAAAACATAGGTTGCGATATGTTAACATTTCGAATGCTCTCGTCAGTCGCTGCGCAACACAGGCAGAAAAACAAGTAACATATATGGTTCACACTTAGTAACATAGATAAGCAGATAAAATTGATGGGAATGACGTAATCAAGTTCAAGGCAATCCAATTGATTGCCTCAGTTGTCTCTGGGCACAGAGCACGGGACACTTCAAACTTTTCAGTAGCACCTCGCCAATTGCCAACAACCCGGGTTCCTGTTGCGCAACAACAGCTTGAATGAATTGATTGGGTTCACCTGGCGACGAGTCAGCATGAGGTGTTTGGTGATAGAGGAGGCAGGGTTCCGGTACATTCTTGGGTTCGCTTCGCCTTGGTTAAACAGCAACTGCCTTAGCCACAATGGAAAGTGTTCCGCCACCCTTTGAGCCAGCCGGCGACCAGTCTTGCCTATGTAAGTGTCACCGCAACTGCAAGTGAACTGGTAGATGGTGTTAGAGGCCGAACTGATTGGCGTGCTGCTCGGACGGCTGTGGAGAGGAATCCTTCGTGTAGTGTGAATAAGTCGCAGTTGGGCGGTAGAGTAGGTGCGCATTAGAGCGGACCTGAGTTTGTGACCAACTTCATTTGCCAAGTGATCCCCCTTGAAGGGTAAGAACAAATAAACATCTTCTCCGCAGTTTGTACGGGCAGCTTCTCCTTGGGGGATCTGCTATGGGTCTGAATGAATTTCTCCGGATACCTACTGGCTAGCGAAGTCCGGTATAAAAACTCTTCTTCAGCCATGAGCAATTCCGGACTGCAAATCCTCCTGGCCCTGTAGAAGAGAGTTTTTACAAGGCCGCGCTTGTATGCAACTGGGGCGAAGCTGGAAAAATGTAGGTATTGTCCACCCCAGGTCGCTTTTCTGTACACCGTGCGCTGCAATGTGTCATCGGTCCTTCTGTTGATGAGCACGTCAAGAAACGGCAGTCTGCCCTCTTGTTCCTTCTCCTGTGATACAGAAAGGTTCGGGTGAATTGAGTTCATGAGGGCAGAAAGACGATCAAAATGTTCACCATTAGTGAAGACGAGAATATCATCTACATAACGCTTGTAAAGCTTGGCTTCACCTATGGAGGCAGCAACTTTCCTTTCAATCATACCCAGGAAGATATCTGCCAGAACTGGTCCCAAAGGACTGCCCATAGCGACGCCGTCAATCTGTTTGTATGCCCTCCCTTTAAACTGGAATCGCACATTCGCAGTGCACATCAATATCAAGTCTCGCAGGAACTCCGGAGGAAGGCCCACAGAGAGGTTCCGACTCAAAAGAAATTGGCATAGGTCGTCGACCGTTTCACGTAGGGGCACACTGGTGAACAGCGATTCCACGTCTATGGTATACAAGAGCTCCGCGTTGAGTGTTGTTTGTTCCAGTATATTCACCAATTCAAAGAAGTCTTTCAAACAATGTGTGCTCAGGAGCTTACGCACAGGTTCTAAGAGCTTTGCCAACCACCGGGCTACTTTGTGGTAGAGTGACTTATTCATACACATTATTGGGCGTAGTAGAATTCCCGCCTGGTGCAGCTTCGGCGAACTCCTCATTCTTGGTGTTTCCGTCCCTGTCGGTTTTAGCTGCCGATACTGTGACTCGGAGATATAACCATGAAGCAAAATAATTTATAGATGTCTTGTAATTTGTTTCTCCACCAAGATATTGTTGTCCAGCGTCTTGTCAATACGAAACTTGCTTCCATCTCCGAGAATCGAGTCCATTTTTGCGGTGTAATCAGCTTTGTCCATTAGTACCACACCCGTGCCTTTATCCGGTTGCAGGAAAATTACGTCCTTCATTTTCTGCAGCTCCTTGATTGCAACATAGTGTTCCGACTTCAAGCAACACCTCTGACTAATAGGCGCATTCAGGAACTGGTGCGAGATTTCCACTAAGTTTGCCCGAAACCACCCTGCATCATCCGTTGATTTCGGCGATAGGTCGCTGAGTTGATTGTACAGATATTCGAAATTAATCTATGTGTGGAACCACTCCATCTTCTTTGGCGGTATTCGGTATTTCAATTCCAGCGAAAAAACTTCCAACTGTGCTCGCGTGAACCGGGCTGTTGACAGATTGTACACATGCTTCTGGCCATCGGTAGGGAAAGGAATGTTGGCTGATCTCACAAGAGTACCTTGAAGGCTGCGCAGTGTCTTGGTCCTAGTACGATGGAGGGTTTCAGTAGAAAATGCCTCAAATTGGAAACGGCAAACCAGTGACAAGCCATTCAAAACAACCGCGAATCGCTTTTGTATCTTCAGGAACTTACGTTCTCGTTCAATGCAAGCCTCGGTATGTGCGGACTTAATCCTGGCTAGATTCACACTGTTATCGGGCAGCTTATTTTTCGACAGTTTTAACAAATCGAGATGGAAATCGACCTGACTGGATACATTATTAATAAAATTTAACCCGTACGCGTTCCACCGTGATCTTGCAGCGCAACGACAACAATCGATCCAATGACCTCACAACGTCAGCGGGGAGATTTCTTTTAAGAAACTTGAAACACTGAGTCCCCTTCAGCCACTTCATTAACACAGTAAGAAGACATAGGTTGCGATATGCTAACATTTCGATTACTCTCATCAGTTGCTACGCAACACAGGCAGAAAAACACATAATATATAGGGTCCACACTTAGTAACATAGATAAGCAGATAAAATTGATGGGAATGACGTAACCAGGTCCAAGGCAATCTAAATGACTGCATCAGTTGTTACTAAGCATAGACCCTATATATTGCGTGTTTTTCTGCCTGTATTGCGTAGCGACTGACGAGAGCAATCGAAATGTTAACATATCGCAACCTATATCTTCTTACTGCGTCAACTAATATCCTCAATGCCCTAAAATCATGGCTTAGAAACTGCTGAGAACTATGGAGGCGGAAGCATTGAGGACCATAGCAGTACACGAGGATAAAGCATGCAAAGGTGCAAGAAAATTGAATACGAGAAAAAGCGGTGTGGACTCGCGACGACAATTGGATCTAGTAAGTTGCAACTACAAGATCGGTTCAGGTGACAGTGAAAACAACGATTATGTTATACGCATGCCAAAGATAGGGTAAATACAGGACCCGACAAAGGAACTGGACCAGGTGGATGGTTTGAAAACAGCGAAGAATAAAGGGATGGTTTCGGTAGTAAACACACGATAAGTGAGTGAGTGGATCGTTCACTTACAGCCTGGACATCGGCTTGAATTTCCGCGAACAAAGCCCGACTTTCATCTGTGATCACAGCGAATTCCGGGCATTCGTCGTTGTTTGGATCGAAGTGCTCCAACATGCCTTGGAACTTAGCGTCACCGACCACCTCTAACTCAGCGGCAGCCACCGTCACGCTAGAGTCATTGTCGTCGTCGTCCTCATCGCCTGCATCATCGCAATTTAAAGGAGCGTGTTTGAGGCTAGAAGAATTCAGCTTTGAGTATTTCGAAATTGAATTCATTTCACCGGCTCGGCTGTGGACTTTGGATAGAGAAGACAAGCGAACTCTACCGGTCTTTTGAAAAGCTTCTAGAGCTTGTTTAATGTTGACGCCGAGAGAAGACCAACGCTTTAATGTAGAGATTGATGGACGAAGTCGGTGGGAACGAGAAAGCTGCCATGCACGTTGCCATGGGCGTTGCAACGATCCACGATGTTTCGGCGTCATTGAACGGGAGTGCGCACGTATTATTCGGCGGCCACGTTTCAGGCCCGACAAACGACGTCCTGTGCGTGAAGTAAATTTTACATATAATCCTCATATCAGGTGATGAACATATAAATTGATGATGATAACGAATATGGGATAGAATGGTTAATCACATCTTTTGTCACAATGTATACGCGATGCATCCATTCCACACTGAGCGCAGCATTGAAAAAGAAAAAGTGTGGCAGCGCTGTTAAAAAGATTGATGGATGTAATCGTATGGCATCTCAGACCGATGGCTATTAGCATAGGGTGAAGAGCGGCTAACAAAGTTTTATGACGACTGAAAACATAAAATGAGATGTGCGATACATGAAATCCTAAAGATCAGTAGGTTCGCTCAAGAGAGTATGATCGAGCCGGTTTGGAATTAGTGTTGAAGTGGAATGAGGACGACTCCAATAGGTAATATCCGGTACGTCATGATGGGACCAACCCACACTCGACGACAAGAAAGGGTATGAAGTGTTAGTCATCTGCACCGGTTTTTGTGCGGCCCGACGCATAAAGTATGGATGAGCCTGGTGGCCACATGCTGTACTCGCTCGATGCACTGTACAAGATAGCTACAGTAGTGAGGGAACAGATTAGAAAAACTCATGTTCATAGGAGAAGAGGTCAGTCACATTTGGTTAATCAAATATAGTCTTAGAGCTTAATGGCATTTAAGCGTCGGTTAAGACTACGCTAACAGAAACCAACCGTTATATGTGCTGCGGTGAACTGAGAGACAGGGTAAAAAGGCATCTGCAGTACGTCGGTATGCATTACCGACGCTTCGCTACCGCGCAACTACCAACAGTCGCACGCGGGTCGTCCGGTCCCTACGCAGACTCGAATCCGTACACTCGGATTAGGAGGTAGGCTTGTGATCCTTAAGGCTACGGGTCGGCTGGTGTTGAGGGAGTTCGGATACGCAAGCAAATTTGTTCACTTAATAGGATGCGTTCACAATGGTATGGAAGCACAGTTGCAGCTGCGTGGACAAATCTCGGACGAGTCGGATATTGCACCTGGAGTAAAGCAAGGCTATCTCAGCCCCTATTATGTTCAGAATTTAATTAATCGCAATGCTGTAACGAGCACTCAGTAAGCACTATTAAAATATTCGTCCAGAACACCGCATCAATGGTTGGTTGCTTAAGATTCATCGCTTCGTCGTGTGTAGCCCAGTGTGTGAAAGAATTATTCAGATGTTGTTTGACAACGACCATGAGTTGTTTGCACAAAGCAAAAATGGGATGCAACGCGCGACAATTGCCCATACTTGGAACTCCACCAAGTTCGGACTCATCATTAACCCATCTGGGACTGCAAGTTTTTTTTAGCCGTCAGCTGCAGTGGAATTCATGTGCGGTGCATAAACTAAGGCTGCTGGTTTTGAAAAACCCACAAAAAATATGCTATCTCAAAAGCGCGATGTTCAAAGAACCTTAGATGACGCGCTAGCTGGACATCCACGTACCGAAGATGCGTGTGACTAACAGCAAGCTAGAATATCGGGTCCCGAAGAATCATCTACTAGCGGTTAGTATCAGTTTGACGATGTACGATTCAACGGTACTGTTAGTTCTCCTCTACGGCAGTGAAACGTGCACGATATAAATGAAAAACACACGATATCCGGAGAAATTCGTTAACAATGCATGTGCCGAATTCTGTGCATCAGTCAGTTACACAGAGTACCCGGTGCGGAGCGGCAAATGCTGAAAAGACTACATGATGCGATCAAAACGGCTAAACACTTGTTACATGGGTAAACAATTGCAGGTACACGAAAGGTAAGTAAAAGATAGACTATCACGCAATGATGAAGGTGATTTAACCGCTAGCTAGTGTTCACTCTAGGTGTTACAGGCATCAGTAGTACGCTGGTATGCAGTACCGACACTTGGCTACCACGCAACCACCACCAGTTGCAGGTTGGCCAAGCGTTGTCCGGTCCCTACGCAGGCCTGAAACAGTGCCCTCGGATTACAAGGTAGGCTTGTGATCCTTAAGGGTACTGGTCGGCCACACTGTGTTGGAAAAAATGACGGTGGATCACCGCTAATCACGTGACCACATCGAGGGTGCCGTTGACCAGGTAGATCAGAAAGGACTGCTAGATCAAGAAGGAAGACACCGGTTAAAGAAGCATGTGGCGATGGAACCCAACCTAGCGACGCCAAGCACGTGGTGCTGCAGCACGTGTGGTCGTGTGTGCTGCAACTAGGCCGGTCTGATAAACAATCAACGTGGTCATGTGGGGCCAATATTGAGGACGCGACGAGTAAGTTGAATGGGTAACCGTCAGCGCATGGGAATTACGCTGTTTCCGTTTCCATTTACTAACCCATATCACTAATGTCGTAGATGTAGCACGTGTGTTGCACCGCCACTGTAGTTGGTCTGTACATGAAATTGTTATCGCATGTTTAAAAGTGTTTGCCACTTTATATACTAGATCTAGCGGAGTACATCCGTAGCTGACACACCGTCACGTCAATGGATGCGTAAAATCCGACGAAAGCAATGCTAACAGAATCGCCATAGACATCCAATGTCCTTACAGTACAGTGTTCATGTTCTGCTCTTAAATAAAAACCAAGGGTACCAGTGGCTTGTGTGTCATCAGTTTGGTCCCAAAGTTGTGTTGATTCTTCTAGACTCATTGCTACAGGTACCAAAAATCCGCACACGTACTCACTGCTCATGTGCAATTCTGTTGGCAGCATGATCACGAAAATTTAGATGTACCCTCCAAAAGTTCAGCAGCAAATTTAACTTGAGGTTATTTCATGGACTCGAATCCAGGCGACGAGTAGAGAAAATATGCATGCATAAATGCGTTGATGATGAGTCCGAACTTGACCACCTTGTAAGCGAGAGCCGTGGCATACGTTGCAACTCATCCTGGTTGTGTGCACTCAACGCCGAGGATCCACCGAGTACTCTTACTGGGGGATTTCAATGCGCGCGTTGGATGTAATGCCGGTGAATTGACAAACCTAAACAGGCCGCACAAGATTGGCTAAGTAATAGGAACGGTGAATGCCTATTCTCACTAGGTGCCTATCATGGCCTTGCGATCACAAACACAAATTTCCCAATGGGCGCCAGTGGTAATGCTACATGAACGCATCAAAGAAGTGGACACGCACACCCCATCGACTGTCATCGTACGCCGGTATGACATGCATCACCATCATCATCAACAGCAGTACACCAGCCATTTGAACTGATGCTTCGCTGTCATACAATCATGATGACCTACGGAACAAAGAATAATAAGAGAGAAGAGGGACTTAAAGGAAAACCTTATTGCCCTAAAGAAACATCCAGGGTCAAAGCGCCTACACCTTATAGACAACATACCGTCACAAACAGCTGGTTATCGTGCAAAGGCGGCATCGGCGAGATAGCTTCCTTGCGGCTTTCACTGCCCCGCATCATAATCATCCACTACCCCGCAGATTATGACGTACCGGAAGCACGCATGACATGTGTAGTGGGTAAGGCAGAATATGCAACTGGTTACAAGTTGGTGCACTCCAATTAATAGGTATCGGAGTTGATGCAATGGCCATACAAGCACTGCTGAATAGAATGACGCGTAGCGCTGCGCACTTCGGTGGGCGCTTTGCACCGTCAAAGTGCGGAGTACTGGTGTAACATTGGAACAAAACGCCGCCGGTCATAGTTATTAGCGAACAGCCTGTAGAAGTGGTGAATCCCTTCACTTATCTTGGTAGCTGTGTTATGTCAGGTGATCATATCACTGAGGAAGTTACTTCGCATATCAGCAAAGTCCGTGTAGCTTCCCAGAGGTTCAGCCCTATATGATGGCGGGATATCAGATTGTCAATGAAAGGTAGGGTGCGATAAGACCAGTGTTACTGTATTGATCGGAGACACGGCGAGTTGGCAATGAAAACATTAAACGCGCGGCCATGTGTGACCACCGGTGCTTGCAAAGTATTGCTCACGTTTGGTGGGAACACCGGGTGAGCAATGCTGAGGTCCGCCAGTTGGTTTTTGTTAAGAAGCCATCAGGTGTTTGGTAAATCTTAGTCGGTTGCGCTGGCTAGGCCATGTCCTCTGTATGTCCGTTGATCGGCTTCATCGCCATGCATTATACGCCGTGGCTACACCAAGTTGGGCGAAACCCCGAGATGGCCAGTCCATGACATGGTATAGCTTGAGGAAATTGACTGAGAGGCTTGGCCAAGCTGGTGCGAGCCGTCTTCCTGAATGGGAGCATCGGGATGGTCCACACCAATCGCTGGAAAGCCTTTCACAAATGGCACAATCGCGCAGTCAGTGGCGTTCTTGCATTCAGATTTTTGCAATTAACGGTTTTCATTAGGCCGCTATTAGTTTAACCCACTTCTTCGTTGATTCTGTGTTCTTTTTATCCTGTTTGCGTTCAACCTCCTATTCTTGCCGTTGTTATCCTGGCGATGAGTCGTGACAACTGGATCCACCGTAATTCGATGCCCAGGTCAAAAACTTTTTTAACTGAACTGAACCGAAACGATGTAAATTTTGGTAAAATTGTTACTGTTCGTCTGCCGTGAACCGGCGGAGATTTAACGTTCGTACTCTATGTATTGATGAGAAGAGGAGCGAATAGTACAACGCAATGGTGACCTGCCTTGACGATATGGACTCCATGGATTTAGTCAGCGACGTACGGCACCTCCGCAAGGAACAGGTAACCTTTGCTGCTGAGACGATCGGGAACACATATTGTAGGCTGTTCGGTTTGGTTTGATAACAATAATGGGACCAGCAGCGCATTGGTTTCAGAAAATGCAACATTTGCTGCTCATGCAGAGGACCGCGGAAATGCGAAAAATGTACGCTTCGCAAGATGCGCGACAATCGACTCGAGTTGTTGCGCATTAAGAATGCATACTGCTTGGAGAAGGCAGGCAGAATGAAGGCTGTGCCGAACACCGCCAACCTAAGAAATTCTATAATACCTTAAAGGTGTATGGATCCACCTTACAGCCGATTAGGACGATGGCGGACGCTACCACGGGAGCTGTCCGCACAAAGTCTGCAAACTTTATGTAAATCTGACGTGGTCATTTCGACTGTCGCTTGAACAACCGTTCACAGATTGCCTGGGGTAGGTTGCACTGGTAGCGATAAAATGCTGACCCCACGACATGCCGTGAAACACAGAGAACACTTGCACAGCTGCGAAACGGTAAGTGTGCGGGTGCTAATGGAATACCACCGGAAGTACTGAAGAACGGCGAATCATCAGTACTACATGCTCTACATCATTTAAAGGAATAATGGCACTAGAAGTTTCTGCTGAACTGGGAGATGCCCTTGTGTTGCCATTGTACAAGGACAAGGGGAGTAAGCAACGGGCCAACAATTATCGTGGCTTCAACTTACGAAGTTGCCTTGGGAAGGTGATAGCATTGCCACTCAGGTGCATGGACCAAACGTGGCTGAAGTGCAGTGCGGATTCCGTTCGGGCCACAGGACGATCGACATGTTGTTCGCGGCTCATCAGCTGCAGCAAACGTCGTAAACGAAACCACCCACTGTACGTGATGTTGGTGGACTTAACCAAGGCAATGAACATAGTGATCTGTGAGTATTTTTGGCTGGATGTCCTAGTAAATATAACTGTCTAACTGTGTATCTCAAGTGGTATACGGGAGAGGGTGCAGCTGCGTGGGCAAACTTCCCGTGACTGATGCCATCTCTGGAGTGAAGCAAGGCTGTATCACAGCACATAACTTGTTTTTGGGTGCAATGATGTGTGCTTTCAATGACTGTGAACACGGTGTTCGTCTCGAGCACCGTAGTGACGGTGGGTTGCCGAACATCCATCGTCCCAGTGCGAAAAACCGAGTGCGTGAGACAATCATATGGATGCTGTCATTTGCCGACGACTGCGTAGTTTGTACACGGCTAAGATGATTTGAAGTAAATGACGACGGCTCTTGCTTAAAAGGTAGTCCAATTCGGACACATCATCAACACAAACTGTTTGTCTTTTTCAATAATCACCAGGAGTGAAATTCGCGTGCTGCCGACAAATCAACATCATTGGTGAATTGTTAGTGACCTCATGAAAATTTTGCTTCCGAGGGAGCGTACTGTCAACAGACTTGCAGATGACCAGCAAGCTGAGCACCCGCGTATCGCAGGCGAGTAATGCATTTGGTAAGCTGGAACATCCAGTCTGAAAAACTACTAGCTGACCGTTAGACCAAGCTGGTAGTCTACAAACCGATGGTGTTTTTGATTCGCCCAACGGCAGCAAAACATAGACACCACACAAGCAAGACATTCGCCATCAGGAACGATTCCATCAGCAATGCTTGCGTCAGATTCTGAGCATCCGTTGCTGTGACACAGCTGATTCACCGGAGCGGGATGCACGGAGTGGACTGTTTGTTGGTGGCTCGAACTTATCCGTAGTATGGATGAGGACAGGATACCGAGGCCATGCTGTACAGGTAGCTGCGAGCAGGGAGGAGACCGGAACTGAGCTACCAGGACATGATCAAAGCAAGTTTATCACGGTTTTAGGCCTTGGACAATAAAGGCAGCAGATTGCCACGAATGACGTGATAACATCAGAAACGCCCTTGCCCAAATACACCAGAAAGTACAGTTGTGTCGGGGAGAAAAGCACCGGTTACGCAAGCGATAGGCACCGACGTCATGCACGTGGCACTGTAGTACATGTAATCTAATAAGTCATCAACGTGGCCACGAGGCGGTAAAATCGAAGAGCCGAAGAGGAATTTGAACGGGTACATGTTACCGCATGGTAAGTATGCTGTCAATAAGGCGACAGATGTGGCAATGGTACTGCATCATCGCCAAAGTTGGGCTGCACACGTACGTGTGTGCGTTTATGCTGTCGAAAGCCAGACAGCCTTTTTCGGTTGATATCTCAGGTGAGAATATGTTGGATGCGAATTTTTACAGGGTGCCTACCTGCCGAAAACCACCACCTAGATTACTAGCCCCTGAAAACTGTTAATCGTTGTTGGAGAAGAGGGGTGCAGTTTTCGTGATAGTGCTAGGCTAAAAGTGATTCCATCCAGTGTGTTTCGTCCGATTTCTTATAAATGATGTGGATGTTGAAGGAGTGTGGGACGGCTCTGAATTCACATGATTCCCAGTTTTAGTCATTCTGATTTACACTGGATACGGGGATGTGGGTGGTGCAACGCAAGCCACCTACAATTTCGCTGTAGGTGCAGCGATCCTACGGCTGATCACAGTTACACTGGAAGCGAACCCGAAAACATATATCACCGTTTATAAATGTGGGAAAATCCGGCTTCAGAGTGTTAAAACAGCGGAATACAACAGACCTTAACGTTCACGAATTGTCCATTTATTCCAAAAACCAGTTGAGAGGAAGAGCTGTGTGAAAACTGGAACTCACTAGTACGATGCGAAGACAGTGTCACCGATCGCAAAGAAGACGAGCTAACATCATCCTTTAGAGTATAGAGCTTTGCATCTCTCACATGGAGGCGAAGAGGAGAGAACGAATGTGCGCGATTAAATCGCGACCGACGACGTCGACGGATTCGGGAGCGTGAGCGTTTGCTGAAGGGAGTAGGCATGCTGGAGGGACATGGAAGGGCGTTCTCCGTCTCATTCGTCAGGATGTCCGTTTTGTCGTCGTCCTCATCATCTCCCCTCTCCTCGAAGCCTGAGTTACCCTCACTCTTTAGGGATGCCTGAGATGATCGACGCCGAACCAAACTCTGCCAAGCGTGATTCGCCATCTCAGATGTTCTCCGACGGCGATGGGCTGAAGAAGGTGAGCAGAATAACTGAGAACACGAAGCGTCAACTCAATAGTTGATGAGTGAGGACAGACAGATGACACGTAGAGAAGTGGAATTACATTATGGGGGTGATCATTAGGCCGTGAACGAGGGCAGCACTAAAGCGATTAAGCAAGCAAATGGTACAAAGAGTACGAAAATAAAGCTCATGTGGGTAGGAAGAAACGAGAACCCTTCATAATCAAGACTAAAAATTACCAATAAGATTGAGTGGGACTTTATAGGCCTTGAATGCGGTGAGTGGTTTATGTAGGTGCTTAACATCATTCGCTCTATCGCAACAGCAAAGTTCATTACCTATTTTCTGCTGACGTCCATCCTGAGGACACTTTCTAAAATGTGATTTAAGGCATTGAACTATGATATTATTTACAAACTCCTTGGCTGCAATTTTAGATAATATGCTAAACCTGATTATTTTGAAAGCATTTCAGTCAGTCAAAGAGTATCTTTAGTTTAAAAAGATTTTCTCGTATGATCACAAATAGTTGGCTTGCTGAGCAACCTCCTCGTGGTGCCAGCTGGGTGGTGCGGGATTATCTCGTTCCCACCAATCATTCAGCAGCAATATTCCCGGACGTGGTGGTTTTCCGCTTGGAATGCGCTCTCCCCACATAAAACAATATATGTATGTTTAGCAACAGTACGACGTGGCGGATGTGACTCGCCATTAGATAAAGTCATTGCACTTTGCTTCACTCTGGTGGAGCATTGTATTCTAGCGACCCGATGCTGAAATTGTGGGGGGAATGGGGCCCCAGTTTGGCAAGGTGCATGAACTGAGTAGTCGGTCACCGGCTTTCAATGGGCACGATTCCCTGGATTCGCTCTGCTGCCTTGAGAGTAGGCTATTCGGCCAAAGGCTCGGGGGCTAATGGCCCCTAAGACAACTTCCTACCTCGACCTGGGTAACCGAGTAGTATCTCGCTAGCTGACAAAACCATGGGTCCTGTAACAATAACCACTATGTCGTTCGCTTGCGCTCCTATGCTTCTCACTGCTTAGGTACCTCCATCACATGTCAATCCTAGCTTTGTCAACTATTCCTTTAAATCCACTTCCAATGACAGTCTCGCTCATGTCCAAAGAATCTGACCAGTGGCCCTCCTTTGACATCGATCGTCATTTCGACTGGCAGCCTTTAACGCTAGAACCCTTATGCATGTCGGACAATACGCCGGCCTAGCACGCAAATTACAATCCTCGCTACTGAGGTCTGTTACTTGTCCGATACTCAATTACAGGACTAAGGCACCGTAACTAAGTTGATGTCCCCTGCTGACCTCGGAATCAAATATTTCCTGCATTTGTCTGGTGACATAGAAGCTGCTGCAGCGGGCTTGCCGGCGTTGGCATTGCATTGAGTGACAAAGCTGTGGCCTCGTTGCTTGATTAGTCCCGATTGACAGCCAATTGTGTGCGGTTCGGCTTCAACGCGTGTACAGGATCAATAGGCAGCGTACGGAGAGAGGCAATTTGCAAGTGGTTTCAAGCCTACGCTCCAACCGACTGCAGTTGTGCGTCGGGCAAGGATGACTTTTATCGCAGACCCTACCAGCCTTTGAGTAAAGGCGAAAAATCCGATGTCATCGTTCTTGCCCGAGAGAGGTCAATGCACAGGTCGGTCGCCTTCTGTCACCCGAACATCCTCTTGATAACCATCATACCTTTGATGAGAGTTGCTCTAATAACGGAGATACTTCTCACCTTATGTGAGGACAACTGGCTCTCTCTCCAACGCAAGCGTGCTCACAAACTGACCACATTGCAATCAGCTTCAGATGGAGGGACCGTGTACGAAATTGCAGACCGAGTTTGTCCACCTACCTTGATTAAGATCACTCTCTGGTCTGTGAGGAGTTCCTCGAAACCATAGCACCATACGCTGGATAACAACAGGCTAGCTAACTCCTCCATTTAACTGGCCTATCAATCCTCGTATCAGAGGCATTCGCTAGTGCTACACCTTCAGATGTCGAGCATTACTGGAGTTTCTTGAAACAGGCGTTGTTTTCTTTAAGTCAATCATTCTGTGGAATCACTGGGCGTCGTCTGAGAAGGTGGATCGCTGCTCGATCTCTAGAATTGCTTGGCCATCGACGAGCTATCCAAGCTGATTCAAGCAGCGTTCAAGTAGGCCACAACCTTCACCAACAACTCAAGCAGAGCTTGCATAACGATTGCGAAACTTGGTGGTCTCAATGCGCTTCAGAGATGGAGACAGCAGCTCACTCTGGAAATTTCCGCGAGCTTTTCCAGGCAATTAAAAGTACTGGTCACAGAAGACTTGGTATCAGTGAAGCTATTTGTGAGGTTGATGGATAAGCAATCCCTACACAGGGATGCCCTATGTCCTCGTTTCTCTTCAACTTTGCGATTAAGCGCTCTGGAAGGTCTCCAGGGTACTGGCGTAGAGCTTCTTCCAAGCACGATTGGTTTGGACTATGCTAATATTGCCTTGCTCGGTGACGACCTACAGATTATGCAGGTCATTCTAAACAGCTCGGTGATTAAAGCATCAAGTACGGCATGGTCTGCCCCATCGAAATGCAAAGTCCTACTTCAAGACTGGCATCCACCTACTCCAGTGCTGATTCATGAAGTCGGTCCTGTATGTCTTCCAGGCTGGGGTCAAATATGGAGAACACCACCGGTTGGAGACTCGTAAGGATATGGCACCGAATCGGGGACAACAGAAGATTTGGATGCAAGGCCTGAATCAATAACTTATATAAAAAACGCCGCGTGAAAAGCGCAAAATAAAAAATTTCTTCGTATATATATAATAGCAATTGACTAGACAATAGACAAAGCCAGAAAACAATGAAATGAATGTTCACAATAAGCACAAAGATCAAAAGAATGAAAATAGACAAAAATAGGTTACACCTTGCTTGTCCCTCCGGCCACTAGTGCATAACCACAGTGTCCGGAAGAAAGTAAGAATTGCTTAGGAAATCCACTATTTTAGCTATTAATCGATTATTAACGGTTATCGCATCGAGTTCGAACGTTCCGGAATGTTTTGGTTCCGCACGTGACTAAAAACCATCTGACACCTCGGCAAAAGATATGGGGAACCATTAACCTTGGTAGCTGACCTTCCAATTCTAGAAGTCGAAGGTCAGTAAGAGACTTATAAATACAGCCAAGGTCCGCAGTAGTTGTACAGTGTTTGTTGGCGGCGATTAATACGTTATTTTGTCAAGGTCTTTGGCGTTCTGTTTTTTCCTTCGCTTAGGCCAGAAGCTTTTTGGAGCAGTAAATTGTTATTTTTGGAATTGCGTCTAGTGAGAAGAGTATAATAAATGGCGACGGAGAAAATTGGAAATGTGATGAATTTTGCTGCTGAACAGTTTCAAAAGCTGCTTATAAAACAGCAAGCTCAAATGGAGGCACAAATGAAAATGATCGAAAATCTGACACAATGCCTGAGCTTGCAGACAACAGGAGCAGAGACGCGGGACATGCAGGGGGGTGCTGTTGATCTTCTTACGAATGCAATCACTGAATTCAAGTATGACGCGGATTCTGGATGCAGATTCGAAGCGTGGTTCAAGCGCTGGGAATACATGTTCCGGACGGGCTTCATTCGTCAGGACGACTCCTGGAAGGTGCGATTGCTACTCCGCAAGCTCGGAATAAATAAACATTCAAAGTTCATAGACCACATTCTGGCCAAACAGCCGAAGGATCTGACGTCTGACGAAGTAGTGTCGCAGCTGAAGGAAATTGTTGGTGTCGGTATCTTTGTTTAGTATTCGCTATCAATGACTGAAAATTGTCAAACAGGAATTGGACGACTTTGGGGTCCTAGAAGACATGATTAACCGTGAGTGTGGACGTTTCAAACTACGCTCTTTAACGGACGATCAGTTTAAGTGTCTCATTTTCGTCAGCGCTCTACAATCCCCCAGTGATCCGCACGCGGCTTTTAGTTAAGCTGGATCAGGATTCTGATCTGACACTGAAGGCCTTCGTAACCGAATGCAAACGGCTGCTCACTCTAAAACACGACACTGCCCTGGTCGAACGAAATGGTCTCGCACCACCAGATACCGTGCAACTGGTGAAAAAGGCCAAGACCGTCAACCGAAGCAAACCCTTCAAGGAATCTACGAACAATTCGCCCACAACATGCTGGTCATGCGGCGAATGGCATTTTGCGCGCTTCTGTCCCTTCAAACATCATATTTGTCAAACCTGCCATAAGTTTGGGCACAAAGAGGAATGCTGCAGTCAGGTCCGGTCGAAGAAAGTGAAGAAGTCTTATCGAAAGGGGAATTCTAGAAAGGATGGCGTAGAGTCTCTGTCCATAGTTGCCGCATTCCAAAGCGAGTGTAAACCGAGACGACGATTCATCAATGTGTTGATAAATGGGATCCCAACGAAACTGCAATTTGACACGGCCTCGGACATCACGATTATTTCCAGGAGCATATGGAATCACATAAAGAGGCTGAAGATGGTCGAGTCTCAGAAAGTTGCACATAATGCATCCGGCGGTGTGTTAAACTTAGTGGGCGAACTTACTTGCAAGATTGCTTTCCAAGGTGTGGAAAAGTCGGGAACATGCTACATTTCAGACCATCATCATCATCATTATACATGTCAGCTAGAGATGGTAAAGCAAATCCGCTATTGTACCGCAATACATAAAGGAAATACATACATACATACAATACATAAAGGAAAAATAAATACGACAGTTGAATGCCAGCTGAGCTACCAGCAACGGATACGCATCGTTCCGGTAAGCTACCAGCCAGCTACTAGGCAAAAAGAAAAATTTAATTACGTTTTACCCTACGAAATAAGATCGTAGATGGAGGGGGAGGCTAAAGGGATGGGGAGGGACAAAGGAACTCACAGCAGGAACGCCACTGAGGTCGGCTCCTTGCCATATCAGCAAGTGTATCCAGCCAAACGTGTTCACCGTCTTTTGGACCCCAACCAGGGAGCC